TTTCGTATTTAGTGCAGATTATGAACCAACATTTTGATCAAGAGTAGATATGACAGGAACTAGCAAGCTTATTAAATCTATGTCTACAACTAGGCTATTCTATACTTTTAATTTGATCCTGGAAAAAAGAAATGACCTAAAGTATAAACAAGGAGACAATGGAGTGTGTTAATAACATTTTACAAATAAACTAGAAGTGGGAACTTTAAAAGTTACCATTTGAAAACAACTATTGAAGATGCCTGAATCTAAGATTTTTAGGTTATGTGTTGTCTTGGGGACTCATATGCTCTCTCTTATACAGCAAGGATATACTTGAAAGAGAAAGTATTGGCCCAATTTTAATTGTAAATTAAATTTAATTTTAATGTGATTTTTTAAATCAAACATGTAAAATTCAGTCACTTCTGAGAGACAGGGTGATCGTGTTTAAGATATGCAGAAATAAAAATGGACATAGTGATTGTTAGAGAACTGGGGCATACAAGAAAAACAAATATAATTTCTATATCTATGATAATATAACATGAAACAAAATTAATTTCTTATGTTACCAAAATATACATATAGAAAATAAAGACAAGTCAGAATTCTAGATATGTATTAAGATCTACTTTTACAGTAAATTTTAGAATTCCTAGCCTGTATGGGATTCTATGGACTGTAATCCAACAAAACATTTGGATGTTAATATGCTATTTGATTGGATTTTAATGTATTGTTTTTAAATGTGAGTCACCTAGAAACACTATTGTAAGATAAGTGGCTATATAAATAGAAGAAATCAATTAATTAAATAAGAAAGCAAAACAAAACTAAAATAAAACTGTTAAATTTGAGAACAGAACCATATGCCATAATCTATGAATGTTCTTAATTTTAAGAAATGACTTGTTTAAAGAAAAAATATATCAAAACCATACCATATCAGGAACACTATGGGGATTCATCTTATTTGCAAATTCATCATTCAGATTACAGTTAACCAAATCAAAGCTAGAAAACAAAAATATGAAAAATGTATATTAATCATAGATTGTTCTATAAATTTGAACAAAAGTATTATTTCCAAAACAATACTACAGAGTAGAATGGAGAAAATTTATAACAGGATTAATTACCACTGAATACTTTTATGAAAAATTCAAAATGTGTCATTATGCAAATAACCAGAATATTAACAAGGGGAGAAACTTGACAGAATCTGTATCTGTCAGTTTTCCAAAGCATATAAAAGTACTGAATCCCAATGTGCTTTGATCCAAGAAATTTACCAAGACTTTAGAGACCCGATAAAGCACGAGTGTCAAACTCGCCACATCACATCACGTGACTTTTTTCACATTGCTGGAACTGGGGTGGGCGCGGCCTCCGCATGATGCAACTGGCCCACTGGCCAGCAGTTTGACACTCCTGCGATAAAGCTTTCTTTCTAGAAGCAAATGCAATTTCTAGTTGCAGGAATATCCCAAAAGAGACATATTTTAATACAGGTGGTGGACCTTGGAGTCCAAACACCAACTAGCATAAGGAATCTGTTATAAAACTGCAAAGATAAAGCACTTTTACCAATGAGCACCTAATCAGGTAAGATGGGAAAAACTGACTGGAATTCTTCCATAATTTGGCCACCCAATAACTTTGTTTTCAACTATTCCCTCTCCCATTTAATTTTATCATGTGTATCAACTATAAAACTGTATGTGCAGAGAAAGATGCAGAATATTACAAACCCCAATACAAGATCTCCAGGATTCAGAAGATGTCCCAAGTGAGTACGACAGAAATACTGATGGTCTGTATTCAGTTCTGATGTTTTCTGAACCCAGGCTTCCGCAAGGGAATGCTTAGAAATGTCAAAATAAAAGGAGTACATATATGAAAAGTAGTTAATTAACTGAAGCAAAACAATTGCAAATTACTTTCTAGCCAAATAATTCAATTTTTCTAAACTACATTTAGTATTTTCACATGTGGATTTTCAAGCAATTGTTTGACGTTCACCACCCATTTAGTAATCGCTCTGTACACCTGAAATGCACTATATATTTAGTGTACTTTCACATGTGGCTTTTCAAATAACATAACGAACTAGCTGTACCCGGCCACGCATTGCTGTGGCTCAGTCTGGTTAAATGGAAAAGAAAGAAAAGAGAAAGCGCACGTTTGTAATATGTTTTTGTTTATGTAAAATTGCTTTTACGTCCAACAGATGGCGCTGTTTTTTTTTTAAAAAAGCATGTTTTTACCTGTCACAGGTGTGACATCTATATAATAGTAGGTATATAAAAACACGCGCGTATTCAAATGCAACGTTGTATCAAAATTTCAAAGCAATCGGTGAAGAACTTTCGGAGATTTAAGATTTTGAACAAACAAACATTTACATTTTTATTTATATAGATTATTATATATTAGGAATACTGAATTATGGGTCTCATTTAGCTTGTCACTGAATTGCAACCTAAAGTAATAAAATAATAATAATGCATAATAATAATAATGATTAACTTGTACATCCCAAAGTAGAGCTCTGTTTGATACAACTGTTAGTAAGCCAAGCCGAAACTGATCTCTCCTAGGATCTGCTTGGAAGATTAATCCGTATGAAACCTAGCTGAAGCTGATCTCCCAAAGGAATCTGCTTTGTGGTTTTAACCCACAGGTAGCTAAGCCAAAACTTTTCCTTTTGGGACTGATGGTTCTCTGTGCACATTTGGGAGAGCTATGCTCTCTTTGCAGTGAGGGCAAATGCTTTTTCCTTTATTTCAGCACAAAGGTAACTCTACTGCTCCAGGGCAAAAAGGGGCATTTTAGGTGCTGGAGCATTTAGCATTTATTTTTTTTCTGGCCTTTGGCTTCCCAGGCCTTCTGCCCTTCTTTTGGGTGGGTGGGGAACTCTTTGTACTGTGGCGTGCCCTTGGAACCTCCTGGCTGTTTGGACCTTCCTGCAGGGTAGCTGTTTGCTCTGTTGTGGGGCCTTCCTAGCATTCAGCCCTTTATTGGAGGGGCCTGCTTCTCCAAACCCTTGAGGCAATCCCGTGCTTGTGCTTGTCTCTCCACTTAATGACCCATATAATTTAATGTCTGTAAGGGGAATTTCCAGGATTGTAGTTGTTGAGTGAAGCACTCACGTGATGTACCACTTAACAACTGCTTCGTTGAACAACTGATTCTGGTCCTAATTGTGATAATTAAGCAAGGAATACCTGTACTTTAATCCAGAATGTTTCTTCAATGAAAACTTGCTTATTTTAGAGAAAAAAAAATAGTAATTTACAACATGTCTTTTTCTAAGACTAACTGTATCACATTTATTGTCATGACATTATTGAATATAAAGTGTTTTCATATACTTCTAAAGAAAGTGTGTGTGTGTATCTTTTCATAAATTCAAAAGACTGTGGTATAAGTTCTTTTCCTAAATAAAAGTGTTCTAATCACAACACTAAAGTATAAAATCCAAACTTATTCAAAAATCCAATCATCTGAAATCCAAGAGGGAGGTTATTCATGATTAATTGCAAAATGCTGTTCATTTTAAAGGGTTTACCCTAAGTACAGCATGACAAATTTTGGATCAAGCCTTTAAAAAGCAAAAAAACCTATAGGGATAACCCTGAGCATAACTCTGTCGATGAAATTATAATCTTTAGCAGTTAGTCCAACTGCTAAATTTTATCCAAACTAAGTATACTACGCATTAATATTTATTGTTTCCTTGTTTTGTTTTTATGTTTTTAATATATTTATAATTAACACTTATAGTGGTTTTACATGATTATTTTTAGCTTATAAATTATAAGAATAAATAATATTTAAATCATTCTGAAGAAAACAAGGACTTCATTGGAACTATCATACATTTATACAATATTCTGCAAAGTGAAACAAAGTTAATCAGAAAGCAAGATTCACTTAAGCTTCTAGCAGAGAATCAAGCAAATATGTTTACCTTATTGGATTTCATGCCTGCACCAGCACCTTGCTTCTGTTCATAGGTCCTACTGATATCCATTACAATAAATTCTTCTAACTGCTTTGGATGAAACAAGCTATTAAAAGGATGGCGCCAATAATTATTTCCATCTATTTCTGCAACTGAAAGAGCAAAAGAAGAAAATAGGAACAAAAACAGATATTTATGAATCAATTGTTGATATTCCTGGTTATAAATGCTTCTCTGGTTGGTAACCTGATGTTGGTGAAGCAGTTTGTAGGTTCTGATTGGGGAAATAGAATGGACAGTTTAGGGAGGAATCACAAGGAAGTATTTCTTCTAGTTAAGTTCTAATGTCTGAGAAATTCAAATTGGCAACCTAGGCTTCTAGTTGCTAAAGGCAAATACCAGGTCCATAATGATCATTCACAGCTTAGTTGTAGATGACTAAGTGGATTTGTATATAATACCAAAACCTGACTGGATGAGTTCATTTCAAGATTTGCTTTTCTGGGTTTTGGGTCAGTTAGCTGCTTTGATTTCAAGGGGAAAACACTCGTGAAGAATCTTGAATGACACCACAACTATGATCAGGAGCCCTGTTTTAAAACAGCTGTAAGGTGGCATCCACCTTACAGTTAGCAGGTTTTCATTTATTAAATTATTTTATTATCAATTTACATTTTTAAACTTTTGAAAAACATGTTTTCAAATTTTTGTATTTTCTTTTTTTAAAATTTATTTAGCTTCCTTGTGTACCCAATCATGAAAACACCTCTTCAGGGTGACCCGCTCCCTCCTTCAATTGGAGGGGGGGGGGACCCCCTGGAGGGGAGGGCAGAGGATTTTGTGCAGTATCTGTATGACAAAGTCGCACGGATTCGGGAAAGCTTGGACTCCGACTGGTTGGTCCAGGGGGAGGAGACGGGAGCAGGTCTTGAGACGGTTGTATGGGAGGAGTTTGACTCTGTTG